GTATCCACACCCAGGACTCACATGTCTTCTCTGAAACTGGTTTAAAATTAGCTTTTCTTTATTGTTTGGAGTTACAAGTTGGAAGGGCTGAACTACTGAGCCTCATTTTCAGATAAACATCAAAAGTACTTGCAAAGCTTTTTAAATACACTGAATTAGATCCCCGAATCTGTATCATATAAAAGTCCTACTGATCATTCTGTCGTGCCTAAATGTAAAAAGGACTGAGATATATAATAATACGAACTCCCACACACAGCAAAGGTGAGCGAGAGAGAGAGTCTGGGTAGAATCCGTAGTAGTAACTTGTGTTCTGTCAGTGTGACTATTGACTCATTGTGGAGTTTGGTAAAGGACAGTCCATTTCTTAATTCCTAAATAAACTTAATTTGTTCTTCTGTGGGTGTCCCAATTTTTCCATCCAATGAGTTCATTAAAACAAATAAAAACAAACTCTGAGAAGCTTCAGGTGACCCTGTCAAAAACAGGGAAGGGAAGACAGGTTTCGGAAGACACTGTAATATTGTAAAATAGGAGGGTGAAGAAGAAAGACCAAAGAAATGAAGACTGCTAACTGCCAGAACTCATAGCTAGCTTCTTCCCAGCTCTGCATATTTCTTTGCTGGACAAAATAACAAATCTCTCGAAAAACAGACCAATAGTTAACTTTTGAAAGAATGAGTACAATTATATAGTTCCAAAAATTCAGATTCTGATTTGGAACTGGAAGCATTTAGACTTCTTTGCCTCTGCCAGCTGTTTGCAAAAAAATAGATAAGCAGTTTGTCAAAAAGAAACTAAACAAATGACTTCACTTCAAAGAATAAAATGACAAGCCATAGATGGGGAGAAATATTTGCAAGAGACACATCTGATAAAGAACTGTTATTCAGGGGGCCAGCAGATAGCATAATGGCTACATCACTGGACTCCCATGTAGTTGACTGTGGTTCGTGTCCCAGACCCGATGGCTTAAATTCACACTGGGCGTGTGTGTGCGTGCCCAAGATCCTGAGAGGAGAATGGAGAAGAGAGTGTAGAGTGGCCAGCCCCCCTGGGGGGGTGATTTCTTGCTTTCTGTCTCTCTGTCTCTCTCTGTCTTTCTGGTGAGCGCATGCACCCTATAGCGAAAAGCTCTCCAAAAAAATAATAAAATAAAATAAAAAGAACTGTTATTCAAAATGTACAAAGAACTCTTTAACTCTACAATAAGAAAACTCAATTCAGAAATGGGCTTGGGAACCAGCAGTTAGCGTAATGGCTATGTCGCTGGACTCCCATGTAGTCGACCGTGGTTCGTGTCCCGGACCCGGTGGCTTAAACTCACGCCGGGCGCGTGTGTGCGTGCGTGCCCAAGATCCCGAGAGGAGAATGGAGGAGAAGGGATTGCGGCGTGACCATCCCCCCTGAGGGGTGATTTCTCGCTTTCTGTCTCTATGTCTCTGTCTGTCTGGCGAGCGCACGCGCCCTACAGTGAAAATCTCTCCAAAAAAAAAAAAAAAGAAATGGGCTAAAATCCTGAACAGACACCTCACTAAAGAGATACACAGATAAAAAGTATATGAAAAGATGCTTCACCACATGTCACAGAGAAATGGAAATTAATTAATTAGTTATTGCTAGAGGACACATGCATTAGCCAGCGAGACAAGGAGAGGAGAATGCATCTGCCCTCCTCCCCGCATGATCCCACTACAATCCTTTCTTCATTTCTCCCTCTCTTCAGGATTTCGGGCACACACACACATACACACACACACGCTCCTGGTGTATTTCTCAAGCCACTGGGTCTGAGACTAGAATCTTGCAGTCAGTCATGTGTAATCTGGCTGCCTTATCAATGATTCCAGAGAACCAGCCTGGGAAATTTAAATGAAAAACACTGCATACTGTTTAGAATATTCAAAATAGAATATTGAGAACACCAAATGCTGATGAGGATGTAGACCATCTGGAACTCTCATTCATTGCTGGTGAGAATGCAAAATAGTACAGCCACTTCGTAAAGCAGTTTGGCAGTTTTCTACAAAGCTAAACATAGTCTTACCATATGATCCAGCACTTACCCTCCTTGGTATTTATTCAAAGGAGTTGAAAAACTTAGGCCCACACAAAAACCTGTACATGAATGTTTGCTGCAGCTTTATTCACAATTGCCAAAACTTGGAAGCAGCCAAGATGTCCTTCAGTAGGTGAATGGATAAACTAGGACATCCACACACCGGGATATTATTCAACATAAGAAATGAGCTGTCAATCCATGGAAAGACATGGAGGCAATGGTAATGCATGTTACTAAGTAAAAGAAGCCAATCTAAAAAAAATGACATACTGTATGATTCTAACTATATGGCGCCTTGGAAAAGATAAAACTATGAAGACAATAAATATACTAGTGGCTGTCAAGAGTTTAAGGGGAAGGAAGGAGGGATGCACAGGTGGAACATAGAGGAGTTTTAGGGTAGTGAACTTTGTTTAATACTGGGATAGTGAACACGTGTCATTACATGCTTGTCCAAAACCATAGATTTTATGATACCTGAAGCAAACCCTGACATAAACCATGGATGACTATGGGTATTAATGAGGCATTGATGTGGTTTCATCAGTTGAAATAAATGCACACTTTAGTGTGGGATGGAGATAGTGGGAGAGGCTGTGCATATGAGGGGGCAGGGGACAGAGGGGAAATACCTGCCTTCTCAATTTTGCAGTGAACCTGAAACTGTTCTTAAAAATAAAAGTCAGGCCAGCTGTAGTGACATGGAAGACTGGGGATCCAGTGCCTGGGCTGATCTGGACACATCAGGTGTACGTGCATGCCCGTAAACCTGGATGGACGAGAAGGCTGGGGGGAGGATCACGGCATGAGACCCTGTTGAGGGGGCCTGTCTTTGTCACTCGCATGAAGGAAAGAAACTTAGGAGACAGATTAAAAAAAAAAAAAAAGGATGGGCTGCCCTGTAGCACAGTATTTAGCATTATGCACTGGGATCCAGACACCATAGGCCCAACTGTAGTTTTAATACTATCGTCACAATTTGAAAAACATACCAGGCACATGTGTCTGTATGCCCAGAATCATGATAGGAAGGAGAAATGGAGGGAAAAGATTGTGACGTGACTATGCTCCATTGGGGGTGCTTTCTCTCACTCTGGTGAGCACATGCCCTGTTTAAAAAAAAAAAAAAATCTTAAAATTTAAACCAGAACTGGCTCTGTGGCCTGGTGGTTAAGGCAGCCAGATACCACATGGCCAACAGCCTGGTTTGAGTCTCAGCCTAGTGCCTTGAGAAACATGCCCAGTGTGTGCATGCCCCAAACCCAACAGGCTGGAGTATTGGAGAAGAGATTACAGCATGACCATGCCCCATGGGGTCAGGGGGAGAGGGAGTAGACTCTCTCCTCTTTCCTCCTCTGTCTCATTCTCTGGCGAGCACACATTAGACTCTCTCCTCTTTCCTCCTCTGTCTCATCATTCTCTGGCGAGCACACACGCCCTCTAACACGCACCCCTCCCCCTGAAAAAAAGTGACCTAACCTAAAAAAAAGTCAAAGGCAATAATATGAATAGTAATTAGGTTGTGTATGAGCCATTTATGTTTTAAGGTGGGCTTAGCCTTAAAAGTAACTGCTTTAAAAATTAAGAGTAGGGGGGCGCAAATGGTGTGGAGGTTAGGATGGCAGGATCCCACATGACCGACTATGAGGTTCAAGTCCCAAAGCCGGGGGCTTGAAAATCATGCCAGGCACATGTGTATGCATACCCAAAATTCCAAGAAAAGAGTGGAAGAGAAGGGATTGCAGTGCATCCGTCTCTGGAAGGAGGGGGGATGTGATTTCTCATCCTCTCTCTGTCTCTCTGATGTGCACACACATCCTATAGCAAAGAAAAAAAGAAGAGTAAAATTATATCAAATAAATTTATGTAAATTTAAGAAATATATGGTTGATTTTTTTGTTATCATTTTTCTGCTGCTTAGGGATTAAGTAAAACACATTTGTTCCATTATTTTCAAATAAGCACTTTATTATCAAATAGTTCAGCATCAGAACAAGATTTCTAATTCCAAAAGGGTTTTCTTTACATATGATATTGTGAGATACATTTTAGCAGACCAACATTACAGCCTGTTCTGGTTTCTCTCTTTTAGTTGAGTCACTTGTTTTGATCTAAACAGTATAAATTTATTTTATTCTTGTTAATGCTGTTCGTAAAATATAAGCCTTAACTCCTTTTCCACTAGTACTTTATAATTACACTAGTACCAGATTAAGAGGCCTGTCGCACAGTGACATAAAAGTCAACTACAAGATAAATACACATCACTTTTACTTTCAGAGGCAAAAATATCTTTGAACAGAAAGGAAAGGATCTTAAACAAACATATAAGGCATGTGAGCCCAGAAATCATATTCATTCAAAGATACTCCATATTCGATAATACCACAAGAGAAATTAATGACTCAGAGTAAATAGAAAGTTAAAATTAGCCCTTGGGCCTTTGACGAGTTAATTGCCAAGGCCTTTTGTGAATTCTAATTAATGCTCTAAATTAGCCACTACTTCTCAGAATGATGTTCCAGAAGAGTATGAACCTCAGTAATCACAGGCTGCTTTAAATTTATTTTATGCGATTCATTCCTTCACCTTGTATTACGCAATAAAGCTGTTCTTAAGGTGTATTATAACTGGGACCAGCACTTGGTGTAATGGCTACATTGCTGGACTCCTATAGTCGACCATGGTTCGAGTCTCGGACCTGGTGGCTTAAACTCACGCTGAGCGCGTGTGCATGCGTTCCCAAGATCCCGACAGGAGAATGGAGGAGAAGGAATTGCAGTGTGGCCATCCACCTTAGGGGGTGATTTCTTGCTTTCTGTCTCTCTGCCTCTCTTTCTGAGAGCACATGTGCCCTATAGCAAAAACCTCTCCAAAAAAAAAAAAAAAAAAGATGTATCATAACTTAATTGAGTACCTACTGTATGCAGGACACTGCTGGATGCTGACAATGTGGTAGAGACAGCCTTCTTTGCCAAAATCTGATGTCAGCCAGCTGAGTAGTGGAGCATTTGGCCAGAATAGCATAAATTGAGACCAGCGTGCCAAAGGCATCCAACTTAACTGACTCAAAAACAGGAACTGATAAATATAAGACGTTTTTTTTTTTTTTCCTTTGCACTTAATCACATCTGATCAGAGCATTTGATGCTTTCTACATAAACTTTGAACGCAGGCAGACGGAAAAGTGACCACCGTTTTCCTTTTGACAGAGCGCACATATTCAGCCAAATGTAGCTCATCATAAATCCTATTAATTTAAGAGGAGTTTAATCTCTGGCTTTTGCAAGGGAAATAAAAAGCTCAAAAACTCTCCTTTCCTGCAGATGGAGATCAATTTTTAAATGCTCCAACTCGGCTTGCTTTGCTGATAAAGTTCTTCAGGAGGTCATGGTCCATTTCTGCAAATCCTGAAGTTTGTGTTACCACAGTCAGATGGTTTATGCAAAACCTGAAGCAGAATTCTTCTAAATCCTAGGAACACCAAAAACAAAAAAGAGTTAAATTCATATTTACAATGCAATACAATATGGCATGAAAATTCCTAAAGCAAGTAGACAAGAAAAAAGGATTTGATAGCCAATAGGAGGAAATGTACAGTAATACCAAAAGAACAGTTACCAGTATGGGTTGCATGTCTTCACCAAAACTCATGTTGAAATTTACTCCTCATTTTATTTTATTTTTTTGAGAGGTTTTTGCTATAGGGCGTGTACTCTCACCAGAAAGACAGAGAGACACAGAGAGGCAGAAAGGGAGAAATCTCCCCCAGGGGAGATGGCCACACTGCAATCCCTTCTCCTCCATTCTCCTCTCGGGATCTTGGGCATGCACGCACACGCGCCTGGCATGAGTTTAAGTCACCGAGTCTGGGACTCAAATCTCGGTCGACTACATGGGAGTCCAGCAACATAGCCATTATGCCATCTGCTGGTCCCACTCCCCATTTTTTAAAACAATTATTTTATTTAACTTTATTCACCCTTATTATTTTTTAACATTTGACCAGAGAGAGAGAGAGAGAGAGAGATTGGGAAAGTGAGAAAGCAAGCTGTCAGGTTGAACCACAGTTGACCGTGTGGTAATCAATTGCCTCAACCACTCCACCACCTGCCGGCCTTTTACTAAGAGGTAGAGGCCTTCTAAGAGGTGATATTTAATTGATGATTGCCATTATCAAGGAGGTGGTTAGTTATGGGAGTGGGCTTCTGATGTAAAGGAGGCATTCAGGCCCATTTCTCTGTCTGGTGAGCTGCTCTGCCCTTTCGCAATGGGAAAACTCTTGTCAGATGCTGACCCCATATTCTTGGCTTCCCCAGCCTCTAGATCTATAAGAAATAAATTTCTTTTCCTTATAAGCTACCCAGTATATATAGCAGCAAAAAACAGACTAGGGCAATTATAAAACTTGTATAATAATATAAATCCATGCCTGTATAAATTTAATGAACAGAGTAAAACGTTCAAGCTCCTCCACACTAACCAATGTGAAGACCGACTTTTTCTTCTCATAGATAGGCACCAAAGTGTATGAATTCTTCAGTGCCTGTTTCTGTATTGTTATTTCTCTTTCAATATTTGTTAAAGGCTCTATTTTTATCTTTCATATCCCCTGGGTGCTTTGAAACAGTTCTACCTGTGAAGAGTTTGTGGAAGAAAAGGATAAGCCATGAAAAAGAAATGCTGGGAAACTAGCAGTCTGAAGTCATCAGCAGGCCACTGCTCTCTCTCCTTTGCAAGAGGACAAAGGCTGTGATGGATGGATTTCATCACGCTGGGGAATACAGTGCACCCAAGTGGACTTTAAAAGTTCATGGAAAGATGAAATTACAGTATAAGTTTAAATTGCTGCCAAAAATTTTGAAACTCAAGCACAATTTTTTTTTTAAGATTTTTTTAAAAGATTTTTACTATAGGGCTTGTGTGCTTGCCAGAGAGAGAGAGAGAGGGAAGGTGAGAAATCATCCCCAGTGGGGTTGGCCATGCTGCAATCCTTTCTCCATTCTCTTCTTGGGATTTTGGACACACATGCTTGGAATGTTTATTTCAAACTGCTGGGAAAAGGAGTCAAAATGCAATCAGCCACATGGGGTCCAGTGCCTTAACCACCACATCACATGCTGGTCCCAAGTGTATATATATATCTATATATCTATATATATAGATATATATATATATATAAGTTCCACGTATTTTCTATGAACTTTTCTAAGACCCTTTAGATCTCCATTGATCTAAACTGGGAAATGCTTTGAAGCAATCATGACTTTTAAGGCTCTCTGGCAAGAGAAACCCAACAAACTGATGTTTTCTGGCTTACTGGAATGCCTTCTGGGTCAGAGAATAATCCTGTAGTAATTCTCTCCATTAGAACGGTAAGCCTGAGAATCAGAATAAAGGTGGCCAAATGCATTTGGGAACTGTGAGGCCAATATGCCCAGGACTCCGATGTGCCTCTGGCCTGGGCTGTGCTGAATTCTGACCCAGGACAAGGTGCTGCCAGGTGGTGGTCACTTTGTGAAGTCTCCTCTTTGTCTCTAAAGCTAATTTACACACACACACACACACACACACAATCCAGCAATCGTATATGCACATTACACACTATAGTATTTTCTCCTTGAGACACATATAAATTACAGCAAATGCCAAAGACGAATAAATAGACTGAAAAATTAGAAAGACTGACAGCTATGCCAGTGTACGCGCAGACCTACAGTACATGTCTTTTTAGAAGAAACAAACTGTGCAAGGAAAACCTGTTTATGTCACCTCTGTACACACAGAGCTAGGCAGACAAGGTCACACCGCAACAGGACCTATCTCAGTTCCAAGAAAGCCCTCGGCGATTAAACGGAAAACTACCACACCCACTTGTCACAGCATATTACTACACATAAAACCGTGCTTTGGTAATATGTACTGAATATCCCAGAATCTATTTGCAATCATGTATTCTTGCTTAAGTTTTTAGAAATAACCATTTCCCCCCTATAGTACATGAAAATGAAACAAGGCAGAGATGCATCTCTGGCTGAATGCTATAGGGAAGAATGGAGAAATTCATACCCCACCACACACATCAAAGCATGTCTGGAATTAGGTAGCTAAGCCGTGGGAAGGCTTATAGATTTGGATGGCATCAGTAAAACTGCTAATTAACAAATGAACAGAAGGACTCTTAAGAAGTTAGCACTTGCATCCACCCTCCTTTGCTTTTCTAAAATGAGAATTTCCCAAAATTACTAAGGACAGGACATAGAAGAGTTCCTCTAAGAAGTCAGTTAATTGGCACAGGTGACATTAGTGATAAGGGGATTCTGCTCATACGTTATTTTTGACAAAAGAATTATAGTCTGTTTTAAATAGTGCCACTGTATAAGGCTTCATGTTTTAAAAGGGGCCTTTAGTTCTGTCCCGAAGTCCAGCCACATTTCCCTAGTTCATTCGATCTCCTACGCAATTTTCATACTTTAGTGCCTTAAGCCCTAACACCTTGCTTATCTTCCCTCTAAGCTAACATGACTTCCTATTTCACTGAAAACACAGAAGCACTCAGAAGAGAGTCTTGGGGCTGGCAGGTGGCATGGTGGTTAAAGGCACTGGACTCCCACATGGCTGAGCGTGGTTCAAGTCCTGGAACTGGTGGCTTGCTTTCTCACTTTCCCCCTGTCTCTCTCTGATCACACTGTAAAATAATGATGATAATAATAATAATAATAATTAATAAAGTTAAATAGCATAATTCTTTAAAAAAAAAAAAGAAGAAGAAGAAGAGAGTCTCCGCCAGCTCCTCTTACCACCGCAGTTCCTTGCCTTCCTGCCTGGAGACACTATCTTCCCTCTTCTCACTTCCTTTGATCCCACATCAAGCTTGGCCCTTTGCTTTTTCACTGGCTGCCACTGCTCCACCTCCTTAGGGACCCCACCTGTCCCCTGCTTCTTTAGCTTTTTCTCTTTACTCGATCTTTGCATCTTTATACAAACATGCTTCATTCTTTTCATCTTAAAAAAAGTAAAAAATAGGGACAGGCAGGTGGCATGGTGGTTAAGGGACTGGACTCCCACATGGCTAACCATGGTTTGAACTGCAGCCCTGGTGGCCTGCTTTCTCACTTTCCTCTCTCTCTGGTCAAATTAAAAAAAATAATAATAAATAATTCTTTTTTTTTTTTAAAGTTAAAAACATGTTTGACCTTAAATGTACCTCCAATCTGTTTCTCTTTATGTTTTTAAGGCAAAACTACTGAGAAAAATTGTCACTACAAGTTCATAAAGAAATAGAATTAAGTCTGGCCTGGTAGCCTAGGGGTTAAGAGCTGAATCCCCTGTAGCTGACCACAACTGGAGTCCCAATCCCAGCAGCTTGAGAAACATCCCAGGTGCATGTGCATGCTCGTGCATAGTCCCAATCCTGAGGAGATGGGGAAATGGAGCAGAAGGGATTGCAGCATGGCCATGCCCTACTGGGGGTATTTTTGCCCTCTCCCTCCCCCCCTGCTCCCCATCTCTCCATCTCTCTCTAGCCAGCACACATGCCCTTTGGCAATTTAAAAAAAAATAAATGGAATTAAAATATACATTTATGGGACCAGCAGTTGGCATAATGGCTATGTCGCTGGACTCCCATGTAGTCGACTGCAGTTTGAGGCCTTTGCACAGTGGCTTAAACTCACACGGGGCATGTGTGCGTGTGTGCCCAAGATCCTGAGAGGAGATTGGAGGAGAAGGGATTGCAGCATGGCCATCCCCCTGGGGGGTGATTTCTCGCTGTCTCTCTCTGTCTTTCTGGTGAGTGCACGCACCCTATAGCAAAAACCTCTCCAAAAATAAAAAATATGCATATAAATTTGTTTTGGTGCTAAAAACTTTGACTTCCGTGCATAATCTTTTCATAAACATATTTTCCAGGAACTTTGTGAAGATCCCTTGTATTCTTTTCTAATTCCTCTGCTTCCATTTTCCCATCAGGCATACTTCATAGTCAAATTGAAAGTCTTTGTTAAGGTCATTTCTGGCATTCTAGTCAAAAAATACACTAGTCAGGTCTCACCTTGACCCATCAACAGCACCTGATGTGATTAAAGACTTCTTCCTTCCTGACATCATATTTTTCCTCCTAGCTTCAGAACAGTGTCCTGGTTTTTCTCTTAGCTCACTTCTCACTCCTCCTCCGTCTCCTTTGCTAGTCTTTCCTCACCTCCTTGACTTCTAAATATTGAGTGCTCAGCCAGGGCTTAATATGCAGACATGTCTGTCTCATGTCAGCCTAACAGCTTTAAATCTCTTTTTCAAGGATACAGCAGTAAAACAGGACAGTCTAGAAGCTAACCCACAAGGTAAGGTTCTAGGTTTGCATCTGGAGACATCCCTACATACACTGGGCACATGTGTGCCCATAATCCAGGGTTGGCTACACTAGGGACTCAGGGTGAGTCCCTATTGGGGGCATCTCTCTACCTTTGTTTCTCTAAATCATGGGAGAAATAAATAAAAAAGTTTAAAAGTAAATAAATCCATTTTCCCCTGAATCCAGATTTATTTATCTACTTCTTTATTAGACACTTTCACCTAGATGTTTAATATATTTCACAGATGTAATATAATCCAAAATCAAATTTCCTTTTTTTAAATAATTATTTATTTATAATTGTATTTATTCATTCATTTATTTTAATTTGACCAGAGAGACACAGAGAAACAGAGAGAGAGAGAAAGTGAGAAAGCAAGCCACCAGGTCCGGGACTCGAACCACGGTCGACTACATGGGAGTCCAGCGACATAGCCATTATGCTAACTGTTAGTCCATCAAAACCAAATTTCTGATATTTTTTCTGAAAATGCTGTTCCTCCCAGCCTTCTGTAGCTCAATAAAGGACAATTTTATCCTTTCCGTTCATTGGTCAGGCCCCAAAACCTTGGACTCTACCTTAAATTTTCTCTCTCTCTTTTTCTCCTTCCCCTACATCCAATTTGTCATCAGATTCTGTGGCCTCCACTTTGAAATCATTCAAATTGCAACCACTTTTCACCATACCCACTGCTAATAACTTGGACAACCCATTATCACTTACTGGACTCTACCACCTCCTCTAACTAACCACTCCCCTTGTCCTGCACACTTTTCTCAACACAGAAGCTAGAATGATTATTTTACAGTGTTGGTCAGATCAAACCCGCCAATAGCTCTCTCATACGAAAACTTGGATTTCTGAAACTTGCCTCTTGGGTTCGGCAGACCATGCCGCCCTCACACACCATCTCTCTGTCATCTTCTCTAGTTCTCACTGGGCTCTGTCCACATGGACCTTGCTGTTCCTCCAACATACCACCCACCTCCTTGAAGGCTTTGCTCAGGTAACCTTCTCAGCGATGCCTTCCTCCCTGACCACTCATTTAAAATTTCACCCTTACCCTCAGCCTGGCATTCCCTGTTTATCTGTCCTAGCTTAGTTCTTTTCATATCTCTTATTCACCATCAGACATATTATATATTAAATTTATTTATTTATTGCCACCTTCCCGTGCCAGAAAGTTCCATGAAGGGTGGTCCATTGTGTTCACTTGCTAGGTACTAGTGCCTAGACAGTGCCAGGTCTACAGCAGGCACTCAGCAAGTATCTGCTGAATCCATGATTTTAAAATACAGGGGACAACAGAGAATTGTAAATAAACATGTGGTTCTAAAATATGCTCAATCTTGGACTGCATTCCAGCTTTGTATGTAGTTTACTAGCTGACCAAGAATTTACTAAATCTGAACTTCGGTTTCTTCGTTTTTAAACTGGGACTAATAATACCCAAGTCTTATAAGGTATTTTGAGGAGTGAATGAGACATGAGCGGTGTTTAGAATAACCCTCAGCTCATATTAATTATGTACCAAGTGGCAGTCTAGCGTGAGGGATAATAATTTGCCAAAAGAGCCCACTTCCTGGTTGGTGACTGGAGTCAGCTTAGTCAAATATCCTGTTCCTTTTTTTTTTTTGGAGAGGTTTTCGCTATAGGGCGCGTGCGCTCGCCAGACAGAGGGAGACACAGAGACAGAAAGCGAGAAATCACCCCCCAGGGGGGATGGTCACGCCGCAATCCCTTCTCCATTCTCCTCTAGGGATCTTGGGCACACACGCACATGCGCCTGGCATGAGTTTCAAGCCATCGGGTCCAGGACGCGAACTGCAGTTGACTATGTGGGAGTCCAGCAACATAGCCATTACGCTAACTGCTGGTTCCCAATATCCTGTTCTTTATAAAAAAAACTTTTACTTTACATTAAGAATACAACCTCTTTTACTTATAGTCTTACACTCATTTATGATATAACAATTAGTTGGACAAGCTGTAGTGAAACAGGGTCACCAAGGGAAAGTTATTAAACAAATAATCAGTGAGTATCTACGATGTGTCAGACAACCCGAGGCATAGGCGATTTGGTTATGAGCAAAATTAAGTCCTCGCCAGGCCTAAAGGAACTTACTTTCTGAAAAAAGAGGGTTAGAAGATAACTATACAAATAATTCACATGAATAAAGAATATGAAGAAATCTTAGATGGTAAGCCTGGCTCAGATGGAAACATGTGCCACCATCTTGACATCCAAGATGGCCCTCCAGAGTCCAGGATTATCTCCATAACTTTGAAGAACTAGATGTTGCTTGGACATGAAGCATGATGTCCCCCATGCACTATTACCTTAATAAAAGACATTCAGTGTATTCTTTTTTTTAATTTTGCCAAAGGGCATGTGAGCTCATCAAAGAGAGAAAGTGAGAAAGCACCCCCATGGGCATGGTCATGCCACAGTCCCTTCTCCTCCATTTCTCTCTCCCCTGGAGACCTTTAGGCTCACACAGATGCCTGGTTTGTCTTTTCAAGCTGTTAGTCTGGAACTAGAATCACACAGTTGACCATGTGGGATTCAGCTCACGTAACTAGCAGGCCACAGGCTGGCCTTATTGTACTTTTAAATGCCAATGTTTCAAGGTAGATAATTTTTTTGTTTTGTTTTGTTTTGTTTTAAGGTTAAGTGAACTTAACTTCAAGTAATTAGAATCTGAAATAATAATGTATCCTAGAAAAAAACAGAAAGTGCTATATGAAAGTGTCACTGATCTCTGGCTGATGAGTCAATTTCCTTCCTCATACTTTTTGTATTTTCTAAATTTTCTTTAATAAGCACATTATTATTTACACAAGCAGAAAAAAAAGTTATAACCTTCTTTCCTCTACAATGTCTGTTTTTTGACCTAAGGAGAGGATATCCTTATACCAAAAGGAAATCAACTCCAAGAAGTTATGGCCTGTTTCCTAAAGATTTAGCTCTAAGATAGGTTTTCTTTCCTTTTCGTATTATCATAACAACACAGGACCACTGTAGAAAGTTCCGAAAACACAAGCAAAGAGATTGAAATAAAAAATCATCCATATTCCCACCATCCAAAGATAATGGTTAATCATATTCTTCATTCTTTTTTCCCTATGTAGATAATGAATTTTGTGTCTTTTTAATTATTCAGTTATTTATACTTAAAAAAAACAGGATCAACGCTTTCCACTTAATAACACATCTTGAATAACTGCCTAATTTCATAGTGTAGCATTTTATAAAAAATAATCTACTATTCACACTGACTTTTTCTAATTGTTCAAAATTATAAACAGTGCTACAGTAAACATCTTCAAAGCTAAATCCATGTCCAAACATCTTGGTCTAAATTTATGATTATTTCCTTAGGGTAAACTCCAATAAGTGAATTTCTCAGTTAAACTGCATTTTTAAGGTTTTTAATCATAGTATATTTAAGGGGCCTCTAGAAAAACTGAAGAAAGAAAAAGTGACCATTTTGTACTCTCATAGCAGTTTAGGAGAACAACCATTACTCTCAGCCTTTACTATTTCTTTCTTTTTTAAAAAGAATTATTCTTATTTAACTTTATTTATTTATTGATATTTGACCAGAAGAGACAGAATGAGAGAGAGAGAGAGAGAAAGCAAGCTGCCAGGTCTGGGACTCAAACCGTCATTGGCCATGTGGGAGCACCCTGCCGGCCCCAGCCTTTACTATTTCTAAAACATATTCTCCAGTGTGATAGGTGAAAAATACCATGTTTTCATCTATATTTCTCACTTATGTTTTTCACTTGTTCATAAATCCACTTGTTTTTTGGTCCTTTTTTTTTCAAACTGCCCTTATTTTGTTTTTATTTTACTATGATAATCTTGCAAATCTTGCTTCACTATATTTTACAAATGTTTTTCCCACTGAATCACTAACTTTCTAATTTTCTGGTTTTTTTTTTTTGTTTTTTTGTTTGTTTGTTTGTTTGTTTTGGTGTACAAATGTGTTTTACCTTTTGAAATTAGATCTATCAATCCCCTCCTTTACGGTTTCTGTCTTGACATCTACACTTCTACTATTTTACTAAATTTTTTTTTCTAATAATACCTTGGTTGCTTTAACTTATTTTACATTAATTCTTTAATCGACTTAGAGTTTATTTTTAGTTTAAGGTAGGAAGTAGATACTGAGCTTTTATGTTTTCCAGAAGGCTGGCTTGTTGGAATGTCTTTCTTACCTGAGCTTCGTATTTTACAGCGGCAGAAAGCAGAGCAATGGCATTCTCCTCACAGATCCCTTGTTTGATGGTTTGTTGGCAGAGCTTTTTCAAACGATTTTCTCTATAAAATGTAGCCAAATCTAGCAATCCTGGTGGAAAGCAATATTAATTAGGGTGAATAGTTCAAGCATCCTGATTTAAATCAAATCACTCAACCATTCAGAGAAAATTTTGACATTATTTTGAGTATACAAGGGGCCTTTAGAAAGTTCATTGGAAAACAGTATGAGTTCAGGGTTGGCCCTGTAGTACAGTGGTTAAGTGCATGGCAGAGGAAGTTGGATCACACATAACCAACAGTGGTCGGAGTTCCAGCCCTGGTGGCTTGAAAACATTCCAGGCACATGTGTGTGTGTGTCCAAAATCCTGATGGAATGGAGAAATGGAGGAAAAAGGACTATGGCATAACCAGGCCCTGTTGGGAGAGAAAAAAAATCTCTCTGACAAGACCATGCACACACACACTGGCAATTAAAAAAAAAAAAGTATGAATTTGTTTTGGTGCAAAAAATGTGCGATTCATGTATAATTTCTGCATATTATATATTTCCATGAACTTTTTGAAGACCCCCCCCTTGTAATCCCCAGTGAAGTGCTATATAAATATAAACTTAAACACATTTACACTTTGAATGCATGACTATACCTAAGAAGGTAGTCAAACTGAGCAAATACAATACACAATTAGCCATTAAAAATAGGAGCACTGGGACCAGTGGGTGGGATGGTGGTTAAGGCACTGGATTCCCACATGGCCAACTACAGTTTGAGTCCTGGGCCTGGTGGCTTGAAAATCACACTACACGTGTATGCATCTGTGCCCCAAATCCCAGGAGAATGGAGGAGAAGGGATTGCGGCATGGCCATCATCCCTGGAGGAGTAATTTCTCACTTCCCCTCTATCTCTTTCTCTCCAGCAAGTGTCCTGTGTGTATGGGGGGTGGGGGGTGGGGGGGGAGAGAGGAACACAATGAAAATAGCTTTAATATTTTTCCTAGAAAAAAAGGAATGCCTCCTCTAATCCCCCTCCCTCTGCATTATCTTTTCATATCTGCTCCTGGTACCCTAATCCATTTCTTTGTTTCTCCCTCCAACAAAACCAGAGAGAGCTGTCAGTGTTTGCTGTCTCCATTCTCTTCCCTCCCATTTCCACTGGAGATGTTACAAGCAGAACTCCATCTCTGTCTCTCACTGAATTCCCACCTATGCTTGTCACTAATGGCTTCCCCAGTGCCAAATCCAAGGTTGATTTACTCTGGTTTCCTGTTACTCAACATTTACACAAAATCGGATGTGGTTAACATGCTCTCCTTCTTGAAACACTGTTACTTGCTTGTGTGTTTTACTTCTCCTTACCTCCTTGGTTTTCTTGGCTAGACCAAACCTCAGCCCCAGCTCCCAAATTCTTTAGTGCCCCAGGGTTCAATCTCAGACACTTATTTCTCTAAATGGGCTTGAAATACCTCTGTATACTAGGAGTCTTCCAAAAGTTCATAGAAAATACATATTATGAAAAAATATAGACATAGATTTCAAAATTGTTTTGCACTAAGAAAAACTTATACTTTAATTCCATTTTTCCATGAACTTTTAAAAGTACCCGTATATACTGATGATTCCTATTACATTACCTGCCATTTACTTTCAAGTCATTCAATGTAGGCTGAGTGATACATGCATATCAATTAATTTTAATATACCTTGAAGAGCAGGGTAAAGTGTCCTAATCAGGAATGGTCAAATTAGTGTTTGAAAGGTCTGGTTTATTTTCAGATACCGCCCTCTGAATCTCCCTTAGAGGACTGGTAAGTTAGCCTAAAGAAAGTCAAATCAGTGGGATCACTGGTGAAAAAGTAGTGTTCAGGATAACTTTGGTCTTAGCTAGAAGTACTGGGAGTCCTTCTGCCTGTGTCTGCATGAGGTTCCAGTATTGTGGGCTCAACAATCTCACGCCCTTGGTAGAAGTGCATATTGCAGGTCTACATTTAGTCCTGTGTTGCCACCTGATCAAAAGGTTAGCTGAATCCTGCTACTGGAATATTATCACATACCTTTCAACTAACCTTTATTCATTGTTTTAGTGTGTGTGCTAATAAGTTTTATACATGTGGTATGGTAGAATCTGGTTGGAATTTTGCTTTTATCATAACATAACAAATATCAACATTATGAAAGAAAGGATGATACTGAAGTCTGAAATCTTGAGAACTGTGAGTGGCTTGTTTTGGTCAGTTCTCAACAACTCCAAGTTCTTATCAACAACCCAGATGCTCCCTGTCCTTCAGACTCACAGACACAAACAGCACTGCCCTAAGAGGCCACTACCCTGAGCCCCTGCCCCGAGCCCAGGCTCTGTACCTCCTCCAGGCACACCATCACCACAGGGTGGCCAGGGAGCCATGTGCTCACTTCTAGCCCACAACTGGGCACCTAGGAAGCTGGGGTACCCTGCCTAATTGGCCCCAAAGCTGGCCACCTGTGTGGGTATTTCTTCCTTCTCGCCAGACCACATCATTCATGTTCAGACCCCTGGCTCCAGGGTGTGGCCCAGGCTGGGGGTGGGTGGAGCTTGGCCATGTAGGCTGGGCTGCCTACACTCAGAACTTTTAGATGAGCTGTGGGCATCTGGAAATGACCACTTTCCCCAGCCTATGTAGCTGGGTTTAGCCTTGTACAAGTCTGGCCCATGGTTTGAAGTAAGTGGAATTCCTGGGCACCTTTTTTAAGAGACACTGGGATTTGCCCTTTGCCCTTTGTCTCTCTGTCCCTTGCTCCATGCTGCTGTAATGCTGCACAGTGGTGATGGTCTGACCTCTCACCTCTTTCTCTCTCTTTCTCTCTCTTCTCTCTCTCTCTCTCTTATTTTTTCCATAGGGCATGTGTGCTTGCTGGAGAGAGACAAATAGAGAGAGAGAGAGAGTGTGAAAGTGAGAATCACTCCCCATGGGGGATAGCCATGTCACAAGCCCTTCTCCATTCTCCTCTCAGGATCTTGGACATGCACGCACATGCACCTGGCATATTTTTCAAGTCACCAAACCCAGGCTCAAATTGCAGAGTTGGCCATGTGGGATGCAGTACCTTAACTACCTTTTGGCTGTCATCTCTCTCCTATCTATCCACTCAACCTTTATATGAAGAAGTTATGAGGGAACAGTTTGGGTTCAACACAAGACAAAAGGAACAACTTTTCTGATTACTCTCATGGACACCTTCTAGGCTCTACAGAAACCACCTTGTCAGCTACTCAAACATGTTGCCAATTTCTTGGTAAGTTTTTGGCAATTACCTACTGCCTCCTCAGGAGAAAGGCTGATGCTATCTGTGTACAGGTATTCCAGGAAGGCTCGGTAAACAGGATATGAAAATTCACTCATCTCTACAATGTCATCCTCATTGTCATCCAGTGAAGAACGAAAATGTTCACACCTGCAGGAGAAAAGAGCAGGTTAGGTCCAGCTTTTGGCAGCAATAGACAGCCTCCCTGAGGAGCCCAGCCTTCCTGAGGAGAGCACCTTCATGTCCTGGTCTTGGTTCCTTGTCTTTGCTGACCTGAAGTTTTCAAGCAAACATTTATTCAACATGGCTACAAATGTAAACTTGCCGCCTATTTGCCCCAGGCCCCTGCCTCTATGGCTGTGCTGGTGGACAGTCTGGGCTCCCTGGCACCTTACTCACACATATCCACTGGCCAGCCTTCATAGAAATCAGTGGATTTTAAAAAATAAAATCTGAGTAATTGTGCTTCTTTACCCTCTGTTACGGCTTGAAAAATCACCATTTATGGTGGTGTAGGGATAGGGCACAGCTGTGTGGTATTGGAGTCGGACTGGAAATTCTGAGGTTCAGACCCTGATCAACCTGAACATGCCAGACATGCCCGTGGACATACCCATGATCCTGGGTGGCTGCAAGGCTGGGGGAGTGAGACCTGACAAGTGGTCTCCCTTATGTATCTGGTCAACCTTTGCATGAAGTAGCAATAAGGAAAGAGGTGGTAAGACCTCTTCTCTGTCATTCTCTCATGGAAGGAAGAAAAGGAACGAGAGAAGAACTTTTTTAAAAGGGGGTGGGGAGAATTTGCATACAGATATGCACACAGGGAAAATGCCACGTAAACATTGGAATTATGCTGTCACATGCCAAGGAACACCAAACACTGTCACAAAACACCAGAAGCTAGGAGAGAGGCATGTAACAGAATTCTTCAGTACAACCCTCAGAAAAAAGCAACCCAACTGACACCTTGATCTTGAACTGGCTTCCAGAACTGTGAGAAAATAAATTGCTGTTGTTTAAGCCACCCAGTGTATAATACGTTCTTACAGCAAACTAATCAACCTCCTTTCCCTTACAAAGGTTCATATGCTACAGGGAAAGATCACAAATTTGTACAACCTGATCTTACTACAGGGAAATTAGAGACTAAAATGCCATGTTGAGTTTATGATTCATTGAAATAGGATTTAAATATCTATTACACAGCACCATATGAATTACAAAATCATTATGCTGAGAGAGAGAAGCCAGGCACAAAAGAATGTATACTCTATTATTCCATTTATATAAATTCTTAGAAAATGCAAACCGAGGAACCAGCAGCTGGTGTAATGGCTATGTCACTGGACTCCCATGTAGTCAACCACGGTTCGAGTCCCAGACCTGGTGGCTTAAACTCAAGCTAGGTGCATGTGCATGCATGCCCAAGATACCGAGAAGAGACTGTAGGAGAAGGGATTGTGGCATGGCCATCCCCTCTTTGGGTAATTTCTCATTTTCTGTCTCTCTATCTCTCTCTTTCTGCGAGCACATGCACCTTATAACAAAAAACTCTCCAAAAAAAAAAAAAAAGAAGAAGAAAGAAAGAAAGAAAATGCAAACTGATCAGTGTCAGAAAGATCTGGGGCAGGAGGGAACCTGGAGGGGTGACGGAAATGTTCAGTGTCTTAATGTGGGCAGTGGTTTCACGGGTATGTACAGATGTCAAAGCTCATTAACCTGCACACTTGAAGTAGATGCACCTTACTGCTCATAAATTAAGTATCAACATTTGATGTTTAAATCTAGCTTAATCCCAAACCTTATTCATCTGAAAAAACTTGAAATTCTCTTTTTTTAAAGCATCAAGAAGCTCAGCATCCCATAGTTGACTAATGAGAGTGATTACTTGGGCTGAGCTCAGCTCCTAGGCAGGGAAGTTCACTCCTGTGTCAGATGGCTACTCCCTAATCCTGAGGTGGCCTGACTGTTTTTCAAGCCTTCCAAGGAGCACCCTCATGACTCATTCCTGTTCCATATACCCAGCACTGGTGACACACAACTGCCAGAATTCCTTGTTTTTCACATCATGACTTCTTCAGCTGCACTGTAGGCTTGTAAGGGCAGGTCTTATATTTCTTCTTAATTCTGGAAGTACCTAACAGAACTACTTGAACAATTCGAGTTGTTGAATAAATCATTCTCAATATAAATGATTTCTTACCTAATTTTGAGAAGGACTTTATGTGCATAAATGTACTTTCCATCGACCAGAAACCTTAGGTCTGCAGTGTCCGGGTTGTCAAATTCCCTCTTCAGTGACTCGGCCACTGTGAGGTGGTCATCAGGTTCTATGAAAGCAACACCAACGATCCAGAGTTAGCTGCAGACATGATGAATGCAGGCCAGGATGCAGCATTGTTCTGTTGACCCAAAATACCAATTCCCCAAAATAACTGACCAACAGCAATGATTTTTTTTCCCTCTAAATATGGATTTGCATCTCTCTATTCATTAAGAATGAGAACCTCCATGCATCTGCTCATCAATCTGGCAAAACAACAAGTCCCGAACCATCTCACTGATTTCAAATGAAATTTTAGAATGTTTGAGTAAATATACTAGCTAAAAAGAAAAAATATAGTTTCCCAGTCATAGTAAAAAGCAGTTAAATAAAATTACCTTCAGCTCAGCCAGTCAGTACACACTGGATGCATTGTGTGTCAGGCTGAGGCCACATGGGAGGCCTGGATTTGATTCTCTATCCACCTGAAAAGTCAGGCTCAGTGTGCATGCCTGTAAATCTACCTACTAGGAAGGCTGAGGCAGGGGAATCATGACACATCACACACACACACACACACACACACACTCACTCACACAAAATCACTTATTTAGTATTGGTGTTGGTGTCTGATAGTTTTCAGAAGATTAATCAAATTAGTTCCCTTTCTCGGGAGCTCATTAGAGGAAAAAATTATGATATTGTACCTAACAAAGTCCTTACTATCAAAATAAAAGCACTGAGTTGTCTTCCTAGTTTTCAGGCCACTGAAAGTAGACACTGCTCAGCTCACCCACGGAGAGGAGGCGCCAGGTGACAGCAGGCGTGGCAAAGCAGGCAAACACATCGTCGGTGCAGGAGAAGTGGGTGAGGTGCGGGAGGATCACCGACTGGCCGCGGCACTGGCCCCACATGTACACGTGCCCACCCTGGGTCTTGGCAGCAGACGTGTGGGCAGAGTGACAGGCTGCGATCTCTATAATTCTAAGTTCACAAACAAATACCACATAAATACAAAAAAAAAAAAAAGATGATTTCTCCTTTCCCTAGGATTAGCTGATTTAGAGCATCATAAACTTCATTTACAAAAGGGGGCAGGTCTGAGAAGAAGGGAAAAAAATAACCAACAAGACCTCATCCCCTCAATTTTCAGGCACCAAACTGTTATTTACATTTAAGCCAAACTTCAATGGTGCTTATACGTCATGAAGTTCTGTTTGCTACCACTTGTAGCCAGTAGGCCTATCAAAATATGTACTGTTTCCTGTTTTGAAATTCAAGTTCAAGAGAGTACAGACCAAAAATATGAGAAAAGGGGCCAGAAGGTGGCATAGTGGTTATAGCACTGGACTCCCACATTGGCCAAACATGGTTCAAGTCCCAGACCCGGCAGTTTGAAAATCACACCAGGTGTGAGTATATGTATGCCCAGAATCTCAGGGGGAGGAGGGGGGAGAAGGTCTTGTGGCACTGTCATCTCATTCCCCCAGGGAAAATTTCTCACTTTCCCTCTCATTGTCTCTCTATCTGTCTCTGGTGAGAGCACACATTGTATGGCAAAACCTTAAAAAAAAAAAAAAAAGGTGATTTTTTTTTTTTTTAATTTCAATTATTTTTTTTTTCTTAAAACATTACTTACTGAAGAATATAATAAAGATTTGGGCCAGCTTGACCCAGGGTCAATAAATAAATATTTTAATTAAAATTTCACCTATTTTAGGGTTACACGGAACATGCTGTGGGTGGTTCCAACTCACTGCAAAGAGTAAACTCAGTTGTCCTGCCTCACTGAACTATACCTTCTGGAGCCTAGGAGAGTTTCCCGGGATCACCATATGACAGACCTTAGTGCAGAAAGTTCATGATCAATGGGGAAGTAGTTCTCAAAACATGTCCTGATGGAAAATATTGTTTTGTTGATCTGAAAATAATTACTTTCTATAGAAATAAGTTACCACACAAATTTTAAAAAGATCACAAACTCTTGCTTTCACCCCAAGAGAGGTCTCCATCTTAATTTTGCTATAAAACCAATGGGACCAGAATCTTCATAGTAGACTCAGAACTTCAGAATTATTTTTGACTTCTCACCACTTTTGTCAGAATATCCATGTATTATGCCACACAGATTCCTTCTCTGTCATGTCTCCCACCAGTCATCCTTATGGGTGAGGCATACCCCTATCTGGACACTGTAATAGCCTTCCAGGTCTCCCTTGCCTTAGATTTTCTCTCTCCTCTGCCCCAAATTGCACAATGCTGGCAGATTAACAATCCTGAGACTCTGTCCTCACCAAACCCTCAAGGGTTTCTCACATGATAAAATCCAGACACAAGGTATTAAGGCCTTCCACATTTGGCTTCCACTTCTGTCTAGCTTTCTTCAAGTCACTTTTGTCCACACCTTATGTTCGAACAAACAGATGTACTCACTGCCCCTTGATGTCTTTATTCATGGTTCAGGCTCTTGTTCAGAGTGTGTTCTTGTTCTCTATGCCATATACAGGCATCTTGTAAGGCCCAGGCCAAACAGTCCCAAGGTAAGGTTTCTCACTCATCTAAGATCCTATAGCTCTTCTTGTCCATACCACTCTGGCTTGGCAATCTTAGATTTTCAGTTGACTAAGTTTCACATATTCAGCTAGATTACAAATTCCTGACTGGCTGAATAAACTGGTTTATTTCTGTCCTTCTAGGCACACAACATAGTGTCTTATTAAATATTATTCATAGGAAATTTTATTAGCTAATTGGAGAAACTCAACCACGCAGAGCACATGAAGGTTAGGCATGAACCCACTGATCAATAGTGGGCAATGGAGAGAAGATATTCCTCCCCTGTCTCCTTTAATCAGATATTTGCGAGGAAGAAGGTTGGTCCTCATATAACCTCAGATTGCTATACGGGCTCACCTCAGAAGGCTGAGACATGTTTTCTTGTGTGTCCCATGTGACTTCACTGGTGTGTTAGAGGTAAAACCACCCACTAAGCACTAGGAGAAAAGAGGTTATGACATACCACAATGGACAGTCTGGGCCTTGGAGTCAAACAGACCTAGGTTTGAATCCCAGGTCAACCAGAGGGCCTTGGAACTAATGTCAATTACTCTCTAGGAGTCTTGGCTTCCTCATATTGCAGGGCAGATGTGAGAATTAAATGATAAAACATTATGGGCCAATCCCAATGTCTGTTGTATGAATGGCAGCCTATCAACAGAAGCTTCTCAATAATGTTGCTCCTCCACCTCAGCATTTTAAGTGACAAGACCTCCCTTAAATAGAGACAGGATGTTTCTGTGATCAATTCAGATTGGGAAGACCTTCCCTAGAAGAGTCCTTTATTGTCATTTGCATAATCAGTCAGCTGGCTCTAACCTCTCACCTAGTGCTGGGCCAAGGAACCTTGCCAAATGGAGAAAATAGTCAATACTATTTGGCTTACTAATAAGCATATTCTTATCCAAGAAAGCGGGAGAAAGAAGTAAAATAAATAGATTTACTCAAAGAACAGTATACCTACTGTCACCATCTATTTTCCTGGCAAACTTCAGACACTACACCCAAATGTGAGGACAGCAACACACTCTTAAGTGCATTGGTGTGATGGGCATGACACAGGCTTTGAGTCAGGGAGCAGTTTGTAGAGAACAAATTACTTAAATCCTTTTCCTTTTAATTTGTTGTAGGGCATGCATGTTCACTGGGGAGAGAGAGAGAGAGAGAGAGAAAGCATCTCCCTATGTAGGGAGGAGGATGGCCATGCCACAATCCCTTCTCCTCTTGGGATTTGGGGAATGCACACACATGCTCCTGGCATGTTTTTCAAACTACCAGGTCGGGGATGTGAACCACATAGTTGGTCATGTGGGATCCAGCCACCTTAACCACCATGCCACATGGCTGGCTCATTACTTAAATTCTGATAATCAACTTTTATCATTTTTTTAAAGGAAAAAAAAGGGGGAGAGAACAGGATACAAGATGGCCATCATCTCACGAGTCTATGGAGCAGAATAAATGATAAAAGGTCTCTAGCAGACATGGAGCTTCAAAAACAGCCTCTTTCTGTGACTAAAATTGTTTACCAGCTGCTGAAGGAGCTGTGGAGCCTGCCCTGATGAGCTCCGGACTCAGCTGCAGAAAGAAGTCACAGATCTGTGACACTGCCCACAACTCCCTATCAGCACCATGGTGTGGCACCAAGAATGAGCGCTCAGGTGAGTAGGAAGACACCTGGGGACCTGTTGGGGAGCACCTAAAGTAAAAGGAAGCTTAGTGGGCCAAGAGATTTGAATTTGCCAAAGAAACAGAATCCCCTGTGAGGCAGAGAGAACTGCATGCACAGACGTGTAGGCAGAAAATGGACATAGCAAGACTAGAAAGAGGTCTGAAATTAGGGGGCCCTGACTGTAGCAGATGACAACTCCAGGGAGCAGAGAGCAGTGAGGCTGCTAGGAATAGCAGTGTCAGTCTTAAATCCAAGGTCAAAGACTTCATATTTGATCTGACGTGATAGGTGAGTGGGAAACAGCTTTGTAAATAGGACCATGATGTGATAAAAGTGGAGTTCTTAGATTAATCGGCAGCAACATGTAAAACAGACAGAGAGGGAGAGAAACAACATCCTGAAAGCTAGCTGGCAGAGGCTGCTGGGTGTGGTCCTGGCACAGCCATGTTGCTCAGGAAGAATCAGGGAGGCTTAGACATCCAGGTAGAGGAAGGAAAGGGGTCAAAGATTGTCCCAGAGTCTAAGCCTGAGAAAACACTAGTGCTGAGGGAGGCTGGGGGTGGAGGAGCTCCTAGACTTACAAATGGCTAAGCAGTTCATCAAAGAAAAAAGGCCTCTACCTGTACCACCTCATGGTAAGGCCTTCTGGTGTTCTCTGGTGGAGGTGTGGAGGTCCACTATGTTTTTATAAACACTGATGAACTGCTCTGCTCTTGTCCCATGTAAGTGCTTTCCCAGTGATCTATGAGGCAGGCACCTGCATACCTTTTGAAAAATTTCTGTGTACCATGGGAGACCACTTGAAATGAAAGAACCCCTTTTTTCTGATAAATGTTCTGTAAACAGTCACTGAATAGAACACAATAGTGTTTTTCTACACAAAAATACCCAATGTGGGACAATCAAAATAGCTTAGCTCCACATTCCCTCCTGAAATGCCATGTTTAACCTCTAATGATAGAGGGGTGCTGCCTTTCTCCCTCCAGCAGCTGGCAACCCAAGGTAGGAACACCACCTCCTAGACTAAGGCTGCAGTGGACAGAGCCAAGGGTAAGGGTGGGGGAGGCAACACTGCTGCCGGCCATCCCTAGGCATGACCCAGTGACATTTACCCGGCACACCTGGCTCCACACAGGAAGTCAGGGGTGGGGCGCGGGCTTGGCTGACTGCCACAGCTGCTACAGAAAAAAGACTGGAGGGAGTTTAGAGATGGTCCTCTGGTTGGGGCTTGGGGCCCAAGCAATTGCCAAGGAGCCCGGCCTTTGCCTAAGGTTACTGGCATTTAAATCTGATTCAAACCAAGAAGCAAATTTTGCAGTTCAAAATTTTCCAGTCTTCTATGCAACAGACAATGACTGTAAACTGGGCTAACCTTTACTGTCAGGGTGTCTGGCATATTTCACAATCTTAATGTAAAAAAATTCTACGTGTTCTTAATAAACATGTTTTGGTGTCACCTCATTGGAAATATTTGCAACAACTGCATATATAGCTTAATGGCTGTGACGTACCAGAAATGAAAAAACAGAGAGTGGGAAAGAATGAAAAACAGATAACAATAAGGAGGGCCGAAGGTAATTTGTGAGGGAAATAATGTAAAAGATACAGCAATAACCAAAAGATCTAGAGCAGTGATTCCCAATCCGGATTTCATAAGAACCCCAAGTATTACAAACTGCCTCAAGAAGTCACAGAAGTCTCAGAAATTTCGAGGCAAAGTTGATTTTACATCAATTTAACTTAAGATGTGCTTTTATGGTACTTTACAAACACACAAGTACTAGGCAATTGAACACCAAGGTATTGAAACTTTAGAAAGATTGGGAATGAATGAGCTATAGAGAAAGCAATCATTTCAATTATTAAAATGACCTTTTTGTAAACATAAATTGCTGATAAATATTAGTACTCTTCATCATAAATAGACCTCACTGGGAAGGATTTTTAAAGCTCCCCCTTGGGTTGTTTGTGAGCATATATTTCAGTGTAGAAAAAATTTTCCTCTCCACTTCTGTGAATAGGTAACAAACTTAAGACCCGCCCCATCCCAAAGTCAGTCCTGTTCTTCCATAGTCAAATTTCCTTGTAGTAGGCCCCCAAAGAGTCAGAAGGTTCCCGAGGGACAAGTCATGGCATATCTGTGAGATTTCAGTCATTGGAAAGGGCGGGGTGGTATGGAACAAGTCCTTGCACAAACTTATACATTCCTTCCTCGCAGTAAGCATGTGATTGAGTGCCTGACAAACATGCAAGCTCAGAAATTACCACCTGAAATTCAAATGCGGAAAACTGAAAAGTTCAGGAGTATCTTGTTTAAAACATTCATCCATGACTAGGTGGACTACAGCAAGTGCACAGATCCATTGCTACTTCTGGTTCTTTTACACTTACCATAAAAATGATTGCAGTTTAAAAAGATGGAAACGCAATGGCCAGCTCTCAAGATTCAATTAAGCCACTAGGTCCTCACCTAACTTCCTTCCCTGTTTCTCTGCTTCACTTTCTTCTCCTCCCTCGAGGCCTCACAATCTGCCTGTCCCAGCATGAGCTGGAGTCAGAAGACCTGGGTGAGCAGCTCGATCAGGGACTAGCAGTGCAAAGCGAGGCAAAGCACTGCTGGGCAATGACAGCAGATTCTCCATGACCAGGACAGCTGAGTTTGTAAAAATGTGAAGCACCGTAAAAAAACGGTAAAGTGCCATCCGAACATGGAGTATGGGTTATTTTGTTGCCACGCTACCTTTATTTTATTTTTTAAATAATTATTTATTTAATTTATTATTATTTTCACATGAGTTTGCCAGAGAAAGAGAGAGAGAGAAAGGAAGAGTGAGAAAGCAAGCCAGCAGGTCCAGGACTTGAGCAGTGGTCAGCCATGTGGGAAGTCCAGCACCTCAACCACCATGTCAGCTGCTGGCTCCAACTGCTAACTTTATTTTAATACTTTGTTGTTCAGTCTAAATATTAAGTGTCCCTATTGATTGGATGTGCTGGCCAGGGCCATTTTTGTGATTATTTAAAGCCTAAAGACTATCCTTTCTCTTCTACTGAGTTGTTTACAACTGCCTTTACCGGCTGTGCAAATGACACAGCTGTAGACAAGTACTTCCACACAGTGCTGCCTGCATCATCTCCCCTCCTCCCTGAGTTTCAAGGTTTTGAAGGTCTTATTCTAAGATTTTTGTAGGAAACAGTTTTAACCTACACTGAGTAGGTTAAATTAACCAAGTTCACATAATATTTGAATGAAAACTGAGGTGGTTGAAAAATCACCATTTGATGCTTCATTGTTAAGTATTGTTAATATAATTGTTGAGTAATGTTAACTTTCATTGTTAAGTATTCCAACAGAAAAAAATTTAATTCCATATAAGTATAAGCTAATCTATTTATCCAAATTTTATTTAAAAATCAAATATAAAAATTAATATGTAAAATAAAAATAGCAGCATTGATTTCTAAGATTGCAGCCCTAGTTTAGAGAAAAGATAATGAACTGTTTTAGCTCCACACTATGGTATCAAGAAATGGTGAATAAAATGCAATGATGAGAGGCCAGGAGATGGCATAGCAGTTATGTCACTGGACTCCCACATGGCCAACCACTGTTCAAATCCCAAACGCAGTGGCTTGAAAATCACACCAGGTGCATGTGTATGCCTGCCCAAGGTCCCAGGAGGAGAATGAAGGAGAAGGGATTGAGTCATGGCCATTCCCACAGAAGGGCAGAGGGTGATATCTCACTTTCCTTCTCACTGTCTCTGTCTCTGGTAAGCACACATGCTGTATGGCAAAAAAAACTCTAAAAATTTCAAATATTTTAAAAAATAGTAATAAGTAAATTAAAAAGGCAATGATAAGGCCATACTGGAGAAATTCAAAGGCCTACAAAAATATTAGGAAAGTTGGGAACCAGCAGTTAGAGTAATGGCTATGTCGCTGGACTCCCACGTAGTCGACCGCGGTTCGCGTCCCGGACCCAGTGGCTTAAAACTCACGCCAGGCGCGTGTGCGTGCGTGCCCAAGATCCCGAGAGGAGAATGGAGAAGGGGTTGCGGCGTGACCATCCCCCTGGGGGGTGATTTCTCGCTTTCTGTCTCTATGTCTCTGTCTGTCTGGCAAACGCACACGCCCTATAGCGAAAAAAACCTCTCCAAAAAAAAAAAAAAATATATATATATATATTAGGAAAATTCAGAACTGATTCTGAATGTGCTGATTACACAGTTCAGCCTTGCAATTTAGTACATAGAACTAAGCCTTACTTTTGCAACTATTTTACTCCCTCACTAGCAGTTTGGGAGTTAAAGTAATGAAGTAAATTTATTCTTTTCAACCAGCTAATATTATAAGTAGCTGAGTTTTATACCCTATTCAAAGTACCTTCTTTTTCCTACACCACAAAAAATAGTTCTCAAACATTATCAACTTCCCCTGCAGAATGTAAAACAGTCAGGAGGGGAGCAAAGGTTAACTGTGAGGGAGAACAATGTATCAATAGGATAGCTGTGGGAAGTTTAGTCACTGCTATTTGCATTGAGTAGCTGTTCCAGGTAAAGAAGAAATACAGGTAAGTGAAAACAGAATACTTAATGTGCAGTCAATCTCCCCAACAATTTCAAAGACAACTTGTAAACCAAAATGCTCTTGTTAAAGGATAACCTAATGCTAGCAGATCAATTCTTGATCATGTCTAAGTCCTGTTTAATTACTAAAGACCAGTGGGGTTATTTTGAAAATGTTCACATTACCTGTCCTTTTCCACAACAACGGGGGTAGGATAGGACTGGTTACTTTTATTGCCAGTGCCCAGCTGACCGTAAGAATTTGCGCCCCAAGCATACACTTGGCCTTCATCTGTTAGTACTAATGTATGTGCGTAGCCACAGGCAACCTAAAAGAAAAAAACAAATCCACTCAGGCTTCAAATAGAAAGAAAATAGTTCACTCCTTTACCAAGTAGGTTAAGAACCAAAAATGAAAAAAGAGGCAGCTTGCCCAGAGAGGCAAGTATTAAATTAACCAGGAGCCTTCTGGAAGTAACCTTCCATAACCATCTTTGGTCCCTTGGGTAGCCAGAATTGCAGTAAGAGGGCCATGAGTCTTTGAAATTGCTCATCCCAGTTCTCTCAGCTTTAATAAAATATTTATTATGCTCACAGAAATGTAGGGAGGTGAGGTGAATATAAGAAATAGATATTTGGGACCAGCAATTAGCGTAATGGCTATGTCGCTGGACTCCCACATAGTCGACTGCGGTTCACATCCCGGACCGGGTGGCTTAAAACTCACAACGGGCGCGTGTGCGTGCATGCCCAAGATCCTGAGAGGAGAATGGAGGAGAAGGGATTGTGGCATGGCCATCCCCCCTGGGGGGTGATTTCTCGCTTTCTGTCTCTCTGTCTGGTGAGCGCACACGCCCTATAGCGGAAACCTCTCCAAAAAAAAAAAAAGGAAATAGACATTTTTATTTTTCGATAACTACTTTCTTTTCCTGACTATAAAAGTAAAAAACATTCGATGTGAAAGTACAGAAAAGTATAAATGTGAAAGTACTCTCAAGATCAGAGTAATTTTCTTTTTCTATTTATATA